ATTTACAATTATCTATATTTGTGAATTGTGATTTTTAAATGTCTTTTTTTTTTTTAAAAATGTTTTCTTTTTTTCCTTTTTTATATTATGTTAAATTTTAATATTTTGATAATAATCATATGTGTTGGACTTTTCAAGGAATTAAATGTCTTTTTTTTAATTATATTATATTAAAGTTTAATATTTTGATAATAATCATATGTGTTGGACTTTTCAAGAATTTTTTTATTTATTTTATATTTGTTCTTAATCCATTATAGTGTTGTTATGAGGGATAATAATTATATGTGTTGGGACTTTTCAAAGAATTCATATGTGTTGGATTTTAAAGAACTTTTTTTATGCTTGTACTTAATGTATTAAAGTATTATTATGAGGGTAAGACTAGGAGGTTGAGAGAAGTTAATAAATGCTAAGTTTTTTTTTTTTTTTTAAATCAAAAAATTAGGAAATTTAGATTGGGAGATTGGAGCTCCCACAAAGCTTGAGATTAAAAACCTCCTTTTACTTAATATATAGTACTAGCCTATCACCTGTGCTATGCACGGAATAATTATAGATAATTATATTTATTTAAGATTTTTTTTAATATATAAATTATGTTTTTAAAGATTTTTTATAAAAATAATTTAACAATCTTATCACTAACCATAGTGTATGAGAGAAGTTGAAAAGGATATTGTAGTAACTATATACAAATTGTATCTATAATTATTTGTATGAGGGGATTTTAAATGCTGATCAGGGGATTTTGACCAAATCAATAAATGCAGGCATGTGAAAAGACATGTGGATTAATAAAAGTTAATAAATACTGATCAGGGAATTTTGACTAAATCAATAAATGCTGAGTTTTTTTTTTAATAAAAAATTTTAAAAATTCATATTGGGATATTGAAACTCCCACAGACCTTAAGGTTAAAAATTTCCTTTTGCTTAATATATAGTATAGATAGATAGATTATTACTATCGTCTAAAACCAACAAGAGTGATTAAATTGTCTATATTACCCATGTTTCGTTAGCAAATGGTTGGAGTTAACATCATTTTAAAAAACAAGAGTTTAAATTGAAACAAATAAAAAATTAGACTTTGATCTGTCATTGGAGTCAAACCCTAGCTCTCTCTTTTTTGTCGATAATTTTCCCTATATATTTTGATACAATATTATGTTTATTATTACATGTGTTAACACTATAGTGAAAAAAAGTCACCAAGAGTGGTGAGATTCGTTACATTAATATTGTACTGACAAATATATTGATAGATAATGTACTGTGAAATATAATAATCTAGCATTATTGTTGATCTTTTTGTAATATTTGGTATAGGTGAGATTAGGATTATACTGAGCTTGTTTTGGGAACTAGGCAAAAAATTAATTTATTGATTTTTTAAATTTTTTTTTGAAAAAATATGTAAAAAAATAAAGAAATAATGTAATTCAAATAAGCTAATAAATTAATAAGCTGACTACTTTTTTTTTTTTTTTCCTTCTAATTGCCAAAATAAAAACAAAATAGTACTTGTAACTTTTGTTTTTATTTTTTTCCGGTTTTGGTTAAATCTTTTGTATCCCAGTCTGCAAAGAAAAACAAGCAAAGCGTTTTTTGTTTTATTTTGGTTTTTGTTTTGGGGTGGGTGGTCCATTGATTTCAATCATCAAGCAAAGCTTTCCAGCATTAGCAAACAAACCCTGGTCCCCATTTCATCACCATCACATGGATATACGACGCGAGTTTGGCAAGTGGTTCATGGTGAATCATATGGACAATTCACACGTGTCGAGGCTTAAGTAAAATATCGTGAAATTTATTAAAATCGCATTGACCCGTATCAATTCGTATCGCTTTATTTGCTAATTACAAATTAAACTTTAATATTTATAATCTGCATTTTAAATTGCTCCGCTTCGCTATAGTTAATATATTATATTTTTCAATCTTTAATGAAATATCAAAATAAAAATGAGCATGAGACATATTTAAGATATGAAATTTATTACAAATTAGTAGTTATATATATGAAACATATTATGTCAAATTAGTTTGTGTTATATACATAAAAAAAATATTATGTAAATTAGTGTTATATATTATGTAAATATTTGATAATTGGTTAGAATATTCTTTAATTCGCCAATCCATTCAAAACTGCCCAAATTGTGATTTTTCAATTTGTCAATTCGTCAATCAATTTGTAATTTTACTCTCAAACTGCTTGAACCGCACCACGCACTCCCTACGATGGGCGAGAGAGTGATATGCGAAATGACATAGGGTTGTGTTTTTTACACCAATAATATCTAGGAAAATTACTCATTGTAATTTGCCATTGAAGTTCGTTTTGCCAATTTGATGTTTTTTGTAGTTTTCTTTTTAAATAAAATTACTGTTAATTTTTATTTTTATTTTTATATTTGACAAATATTAAAAAAATAACTTTTTTTGTTATCAAAAAATTTTAAGTAAGTTGATGTATTTTTTCTACTTTTTTCTGTAGTATTTTTTTATATTTTTATTTTTTGGTGTACATTTTAGATTCTTCTAGGTTAGAAGAACTTAAAAAAAAAAAAATTAAAATAACTTGATGTAAATTTAAAAAAAATTACTAACAAAAAAAAAAGAAAAAAAAATACTTTTTAGCAATTGCCAAATAAAGATGAATCTTCTTTAAAAAGTTGATTTTTTTTTTTTTAAATTTTTATTTTTACTATTGTAAATTGTAATTACTTGGGTTAGAGCTCTCCTTGATTCTCTCTCCTTTTCTTTTACTTTTTTTAATAGGTGAAAATTAATTATTAGTTACCAGATTAATTTTTGAAGGGATTGAAGAGAGAGAGAGATGTATTGTCATCCTCTCCCTTACAAGCATCTAAGCGCTAGGGCTCTCATTAATAATCAACTAAATAAATCATAACTAAATAATTAAATTTTTAAAAAATCATAACCAAATAAAACTTAAATATGTCATGACATATCATTATCATATAAAATAAATATGTACCATATACTCAAAAATCAGATACTTTAGTTGAGTACCTACCAAATTCAGTTATGAGACCCAATAAGCAATTCCCCAATTTAAGGGTGTTGGACTTTACTAACTACTTCTAATAGGTGCAGATATCTCACATGCTGCCCACCATTTGGGGTTGTCATTGAAGAAGAGATGGAGATGGAGATGAAGGGGGTGCTGGCTGGCTATATATGACGTGGGGACACACCTATGCTACCATGCTTACTTGATATATTAGGCAGTTTCTCATTAATACTTTTTGGATGCTTTTACTGTAGTCACTAAGATTCCTACCATTTTGGTAACAAAATCCAAATCAAATCTACCCTCTCCTCACTCTGTGTTTTGAAGCCATCTTCTTCACCTCTCTTGTAACTTAAGAGCAAAGTGTCTCTTTCATTGTTCACATCTTCATCCACTCTATGCAACTACCTCGATAAGAAAAAATTCAATCGTCTGCTTGAAATTAATAGATGTTTTGATTTTTAGTCATAAAACATGATCTATTTTGATTTTGAAATATTTTATAGCGATAAAGACCGAACTAGCTGGAGTATTATATTTAAGTCCTTTACACTTTAATTTTTTAAGTATTAGACAATTAATGACCGATATACATAGTTTGTTATACAAGTTAAAAGAGACACATTTATACGAGCAATTTCTATCCTTTTGCTTCATTTATTTCATATGTGAAATTTTACAAATTTTATAAAACTTCTTAAAAACTCATGTAAATCCCTTCTATAAATTGAAAAATTGAACCGGATCAAAGAATTTGGTTCAATGCTAAATTTCTCCTCAATACCAACTCTGCTAAATTAGTGTCGGCAGAGACGATATCCTCGTGCGTATGGTGCATTGACAAATTTGATTAAAGAGTTTAGTGTAATGCTAAATTCCTCGTCAATACCAAATTAGTGTCAACAAACACAATATCCTCTTGCCTAATGTTGCATTGACAAATTCAATAGTTTTTTTTTTTTTTTTTTTTTGATGGGAAATTTGATAGGTTAAAGGGTCACTTCAATTGATTAGAAGTTGTTTGAGAAGTGCTAAATTAATATATTTTTTGACTTTTTACAAAAGAAAAAAAAAAACATAAAATATGAGTTGAAATCAAAATGATATGATAGAAAGATAATATGACCCAAATGAGATAATGTGCTGTTTTAACACATGCCAAACAAAGCCTAAGAACCAAAACTATGGGAATCTCATATAAAGCCTCAATAATTCAAACCAAAGAAAAAAAAAAATACAAGGGTTTAAAATCGTTATTTCCTAATAAAATTGTGCAAATTTTAGAATTCAACAATTCTAAAAGGACTTGAATTACACTTTACCCCTTAACTATTACTAAATATCATTTTTACCCCCTTCAATGTTAAAAGTGTACATTTACATTTGTCAAGCATAAAAATTATTTCACTTTTATTCCTATCAAAAAGCAATATTTATACAATTTTTGATAATTTACAGGCCTAAATGTATAATTTTAAAATAGAAATAGTAAAATAAAATTCAATAATAGTTAAAAGATGATAATTTGGGAAAGACTATGTATATACCCTTCAAAAGGTGTATACCATATACACCTTAGAGTTATAGAAGAAAATGACATAATTTTATCCTTTCTAAGTTATAATTAAAAAAATAAAAAATAAAATTTACAAGAACAAAACACAAAAAAATCATAATTAAAATTTCAAAATAATGTTATAATTAAAGAAAAAAAAATTAATCATAACTATAAAAAAAAATACATAACTAAAGATACTATATACATAACAAAATTATCCATTATGCCTCCGTTTGGGAAGTGGGTTGGCTTTTTGACTTTTTGGCTTTTTTGACTATTTTAGCCTGGGCTAAAAAGCTTGGTTTGGGAAGAATTTTTTGACTTTTTACGGATTACACCATAATAAAAATCGAAGAGCAACAAACCCGACTCAAAAAAAGAAAAAAGAAAAGGAAACAATGGAGAAGATTGGGACATGATTCATTGCATCTTATCTACATTATTTTGAATGGTGATGAAATAACCATTTGGTAAAAAAAGAAAAGAAAGATGAAAAGGATTGTATTTAACAGAGAAATTACTTGAGGGAGAGAGAGAGAGAGAGAGGGGTTAATAATTAAGCAGAAAACAAATAAAAAGAAAAATCGAAAATAAGAACAATGTAATCAACTCGGCGGAGGCCGAGTTGAGCTGAGCTGACTTTGAGGCCCGGCGCTAGAGCCGGCGCCAGACAGAAGCTCGGCGAGGGCACTCATGGCTTTAATCTGCATCTCAAGAGCAGCGATGTAATCGGTTGCTTCTTCTAGAATCACCGGCAACGGTTCTTTCCGACAACCGGGAACTAACCGGCCGAGAACGCGAACCTTCCTCTGCATAGCCGGTAAGTTCTTCGATTTCAACCGCAAAATACTCACTCTCGGCTTCTTCGACCGGTTACTTCCGGTGACTTTCACTCTCTGCCTCTTGTTCTTCATGAACTTGAGCTTCAGCCGGTTCGTGAGTATGGCGCGGCTCCACCTGGTCTTTCCCTTGGCAGTCACTGCTAAAACTCTGTCGGCGGCTTCACGCACGGCTCGGCCACGTCGTGGAGCTGCCGGAGAAGAAGACCTCAGGCGTACTTGACGAAGAGCGTGAAGGAGCTTGGAAGAGTATACTTGTTGTTGAGCTTCGGATTTCCACGGCGTTGAGGTGTTTGGATTCTGAGCTTGATCTCTGGTGGCTTGGACTTTCTTCTTCTTTCTCCTCTTCGACGATTCCCGTGCTCTGTCTGAGTTTGTTACAGGATTCGAGATCAGAGTTGACGCCATCATCAACCTTACTCGATTCGGAACGATTTTTGAGTACCGATTCGGATCTGATCGAATCACGTATATATATATATATAGATTGACGAACAACTGTAGATTCAGTCACGTGAATAGATGATTCCAATCACAACAAGAGAGAGAGAGAGAGAGAGAGAGAGAGATTCAAGACAGAAATACGTAATTTCTGTTGAATTTAATTAGAACGATGAACAATTTGAAATCAGATATAAGAAAACTTACGAAAAAAATCATAAAAGTTTTGATTTTTTTTTTTTTAAAGCTAATTTTCGGATCAAAATCAAGTAATAGAAGAATTGAAATGATCGCAACACACATAAGATCGTTACCTGACGGAGAAAAAGGAATGATCGGAACAGTTGCAACCGATCGACTGAAGAGATTCAAAACCTTGAATCGATATTGAGAGAGAGGCGAAGAGGTGGTGGTTTTTGGGCTGTGTAACGCTGGGTGGAGGGGGATGGTGGTGGTGGTAGTAGTTAAAGGTCTTTAAAGGGAATCACAAAGAGAGCACGCGCATTGGCTTAAATATCAGTACCTGAACTGAACCAACACTAAAAGCATTAGGATCCATTTATGCAATGCTTTTGCCTTTCGGGTTGGCCCGGTTTGGCCCGACTTGATATATCTTTTTCTCTCTCATAGAATTCCTAGTGGGGATGTGGTTAAAAACTCTTAAAAGAAAGCAATGTCACTTAAACTTAGATTACGTAGTAATAAGTTGGTGATATTTTATAGACTCAGAACATGATCGTTATAGATAATGCCTATGAGAGAAAGGACACTTACCAATAAAATTTACCTCAATAAAGCTTACATATATATGAGAGTGTGGTAAGGATAAAAAATTTACGATTAGAGAATTACTCTTAAAGATAGACTGGATCAAAAAAGGAAAAGAAATTCAAATGACTATGAAGAGGTCAATTGAATAGGATCAATAATCGACAAAGATATGTCAGTTAAATTTGTCGAGATAAGAAGAACAAAACTCCTAATTAAAAGACATCAAGGATCAAGCAGAATGAAGGTGAAATTGGCGATAAAACAAATCATATTACTAATCAAATTTGATTGACTTTTGGGTAGCAAACGACACCGTGCAAAGGTTTGTCAAAGCCAAAATAATGACTGAGCTATTTTTGAGAAAAACATTTGTTAAAAAAATCACATACCTACCTATATAAAGAGAGAAAAGCGAAAATGAAAGAGGTATGAACAATCACAAGCACCAATATTAAATTCTTACATAACAACACATTCCACTAACTTGACTATCCAAGTTTCCTCCGGCCGAAACCTTTCGATTGGGTAACTCTCACCGTTGTGCTCTTTTGTAAAAATATGATATTGTTTTTTACGATGAAGAATTTACTCTTTATCGCCACTTCTTTCACTACCTCTATCTCAACTAATACAATTATTAATATATTAATTCCATAATCACAATAAAAAATTAAAAAAAAAAATTCAATCAAAACAAGTAAAATGTTGAAGTTTTAACGAGTGAACTATGAGATTGAAGCAACAAGTCAATAAATGATTTTTATTTGTAAGAATTATAATGTGGCATAATAGTGAAAGTTTATTGCTTTTAGCGGAAAACACAAACAAATAACAAAACAAAAGAAAACAATGTCGCAATATTTTGATTTTGGGTAAACAAATTTAGACTTGACAACAATAAACTACAAAACCAATAGAAAAATAAAAAAAGAAGTGGTGACATGGATAAATCTTAGTGGTTAATTTGAAGGTGTTGGCATCCACTAATTGACTGTTATTTGGGTCCCACTCAAATATTTTTGATCTCATACCGTGCAATGATTATTGTGTGGTGGTTGATCATGCTCAAAAGAAATGATAAATAAAGGGAATGCATGTGGTTGTTTTTCTGGCACTTCCATCTTCTATATTGTATTTGTTTTTTATTTTTGCTTTTCAACAGTATCTTCTGCTTTGTTCTATTTTTTTTTTTCTTTTCTTTTTTGGGGGTTAATAACATACTTTGACCTTTACAGAGATTTGAAAAAAGTAAGAAAAAATCTCATAATTTTGATATAATTATATAAAATTTTATTTTAGTAAGGGCTAAAGGTATATGAAGATATATGTGTTTCGGCTATAAGCATATGTCCATGAGCAAAGAACTGCAAGGGATTTCACTATTAAAAGAGAAAAAAATTACAAAGAACAATTGTCTTTTTTAGTTATATGGAGCAAAAGTTCTCTCTAATCGCATATCCTGAATTTTCAAAATAAACCATAATATTTATTAAGATCCAGAAACAACGAGAGAATTGGTTCATGTGAGTCGCTAAGGGATTTATAAACAAGAGTCAAGTAAAAAAAAAAAAAATTACTTATATCTTTTAAAATATTTGACATTAGCATACATGTTTTAAAGTAGCAATCGAGAGTAGCATTGTGAGAACGAAAACAAGTAACCATTAGTTTATCATTGGTTAAACCAATTTACACGCTCAAGCTAAAATATCTCATTTAAAAAAAAATAAAAAATAAAAATCACTTGATTTGTCAGATTTGCATTGGGTTAGATAGACTGGGTAGAAACTGTATTACCAAGGTTGAATACAATCACAACTTACATATTTAAAGAAATAAATCACAATGAATAAATAATTATCCCACTTCCTAACAATAAAATAAAAAGGACCAGGAACAAGTTAACTCGGATTATAAAATTTTAACTAAAATGTAAAATAATTTTATTAAGGGACAAATATGTCACATCTTGCATTTTTATCAGTAAATGAAACCTAACTTTGTCTCCAAATAAATAGAGATATTGGTATTTGTCTAAAGTAGATAAGGTTCTAAATTAAAAAGAAACAGTGATTTGAGAATTGACAATCTGACCATGGTTTCATAAGAATGAATGAATAAATGATTTTGTCATGTTCATAAATATATGTTATATTTGAAGTAATCATGAACCTAATCCACATTCTCCACAAAATCATGGTACCCATGTGTATTCAATAAACTATTCATGAATTACATTTAAGAAACCTTTAAAGAACTTTAAAAATAACTAAAATCATGATACCCATGTGTATTCAATAAGCTATCCATGAATTACATTTAAGAAACCTTTAAAAAACTTTAAAAATAACTAAAAACACTAACAGGTATTATTATGTGCAAGAACAGTTGCCCCCTACCATGAGACACCATTAAACAGTGATGAGCACTAAAAGGGGAGAGAGAAAAGATGTACTCTGAAGGAGGATTGTTAGAAATATCAATTTTTCTAATAAATAAATGATCAAATGTCTTGCATGGGTGTGAAGTTCACAAAAGTAGGTACACACATATATGAGACATTTGGTCATTTATTTAGTAAAAAATTTGGGCTCTATAACATTTTGCACTCTGAATAAAGAGTACATGGGTTGAGTTGCTAATATGGTTGGATTTGGTTCCCATCCATATATCGTTAATATGGGGCATTGTATGATTAGGGAAGTGTGGATATTAATAAATACATGATATTAATCCCTTGATCTCAGATCTAACCTAAATTTTGGAATAAGGATATTTTGGTATTTGTGACACGTAATTCAAGTTTTATGTATATATAGTTGGGGGTGACTATCATAGTATTTTATTTGTAATTCTTTTTTATCATAATGAAATCACAGTAATATAGATGTAGTCCTAATTTTTAGGGTGAACCGTGAACCATATAAATTTCGTATTTTTGTCTGTGTCAGGTTTACAATTCTTATTTATTTTTATTTTTTTAAATTTTTGTACCAATCTTAATTAGGCATTCCACAATTCCTAAGATGGACAAGTATAATAATCAAACTATCTTATTCCTAAGATGTCCAAGTCACAGTTTAAAGATCGATCCAATCCACACAAATCAAGTCAATATATGGAGTTTATAATTCAGAAACTATTGTCTATTTATTAATAATTAACTCTTCCATTCGTAGTATTTTTAGTGAGATAAGCTAATGTAATTTATTGGTAAAAGGGGGAAAAAACAATAATAAAAGTTCTTTTCAATCCATTTCATTATGTAACTTTTATCTCCTGAATCAGACAGCATATCCAACAAAGGTCAAACGATTGCCAATCCAAGCATTCACCTTCCATGGATTTTTCTTTTTTGGATTTTAAGGCTGGCTTTGAAACCAGCTTTTTTAGGTACTTTTGTTTTTTATTTGTCATTTTTCAATTAATATTCATTTTTTTCAAAATACTATGTAGTTAGTAAAAATATCTAGAAAAGTTACCTAGAATTTGAATTTATGGTAAATTTAAACTTAGTGTGGTGGGAGTCACACATAGAATGAATCTAATTCATATATTTGAAATTTGAAGAAAACACATTAAACCACACAAATTTGACATAATTATGTTAACTTTTTAATGTTTTAGTTCACATAATACTTAATCTTTTTTTGTCAATAATTCGTTAATTTATATAAATGGGAAAATAATGTAATCTTTTTTTGTCAATAATTCGTTAATTTATATAAATGGGAAAATAATGTTAATATCTCTTTTATACTGAAATGTATATTTTACCTTATTCTTGTATCTTCACACTATTTTGTATTATTTTCGATCATTTTTGTGAAGCCAAGTTTCACATTGCCTAAGTACTCTAGTCATGCAAAGACATCATTTATGTAGGTCTCAAAATGTTTTTAAAAGTATTTAAACTATTAAGCTCTCAACTTCTAAATTTTTTTTTACTTTAATATTCTAGGACTATTCAATAATTACCCACAAAACCGAACTCTTTTACTTCACCTCACATCACACCAAACTAATCTTGTGGTTGGTTTAAGTTAGCTTCCCAACTTTTATAACACCAAGAACGATTAGAAATATTTTAACAATAATTATATGGTCCAGAAACGGAATTGAAAAAAAAATTGAAATATTATATCTATAGTTAATATTTAAAGTTTGTATGGTAGGTTCAATCTAAACCATCAATATAAAATTTTGGATATTTTTTAGATATTTATATATGGGATTGTATTATTGCTACTATTCTAAAGTAAGAGTTATGTTTTTGTTTTTTTTTTTCTTTCGGTAAGTAACAGGGACTACAGTCCAATGCTCTTTCGCAGCATGTGACAGGCACCAATCATTGATTAGATAGTAATGAAAGCAGAATGACTGAATCATTTGATATGTGCTTTGTTGGTAACTAAACAAAATAAATGGATATTTTTTACAAAAACGTGTAGTCATTTTCTTCTGAGTTCGGATCCAACCAAAAAAACATGGGCAAAAAAAAAAAAAAAGTATATACATTATGCTCCTTTTTTTATTTTTTCTTTTCCTACTAAAATTCAAAATCTAAACAAATAACTAAATAAAAAATAATAAATAAAATGTTTTCTAACTTAAAATAGGCCATCCTTTTAAAAAAGAAAAAAATAATAAACAGGACAAATCTTGAAAGAAAATGCTTTGCAAGCAAAGTTTGTATGCTGAATCAGCTTGCATCAAAATGAACACAAGAAAAGGGCAACCTATGTGTTTTTATA